GGGTGTTCAGGGTGGGCAACATGATCAATCTTAGGCCACAACTCTGCCTCACATTCTTTGTGAAGGAAAAATCCACAATCAGGACAATTGTAAAATGAAGTGCCCAATAGTGGTTTTGAGCAAACAGAGCAGGAAGCATTTATTTTAACTTCGTTGCTAAGCATTTGGACAAAGACGAGTGGGTGTTTAACATGGCTAAAATGATGATCACGTTTTGGGAGATCTTTGGTGATGAGCAAAGCACATTGGGTGTCAAGGTAGAACTCGCAAGAACGACACTTGTACATAAATCCATTGGTAACATTAAGACAAAAGTTACATGCTATTTCATTATTCTTATTTTTGGTTAGTGTAATAGCATGTTTATAATGGAAAGAGTGATTAATTTTCAAAGGTAGCTTCTCAAAAAAACATGATTTATGAAGAAAAAATTGACATTCTGGGCAATAATAAAAAGAACTACCAGATAATGATACTCGACAAACAAAGCAATAAGAATGTAGTTCAACTTTATTGTTGTTGCTAATAAGGTCCTTTTGAATGAAGAAGAGTGGGTGTTCATCAACATCACTAAAAAGATGATCACGTTTTGGGAAATTTCCGGTGAGGAATTGTGGGAGAAAGGCACATTTGATGTGGAGGTCAAATTTACAAGAAGAACAGTGGTAAACAAATCCATCGACCCTACTTCTACAAAAACGACAACGTGCACCCCCACTTTTGTATGGTGAATCAGATAGAAGAATGAGAGGATGCTTATCATGGAAGGGGTGAGTGATGTTCAACGGTAGCTCAGAACATGATTTATGAAGGAAAAACTTACAGGGGATGCACGCATGGAACTGAGTTGAGATTGGCTGCCCACATCCTGATGAGCAATTTACACCTCTAGTGACATTGCTCCACTCTTCAAAGAAGCGCAGTGTATGCTCATGCATAAAGTTTTTGCGCTCCATCCTCGCTCCCTATATGTATCAGAATGCAGATATGTGAGACAATGGCAAGTGAGATGGGAAATATAAGTTCTTGAAAACTAGCTAGCTAGCTTCAAGTGAGGATGAGGTATCCATTAAAGCAAGGAGCACACCCTATTTATAAACTTTTAAAAACTACAGACACCAAGGGAATCACGTCGAATTAGATTCTTGCTTCTTTCCATTCTTCCATTTTCACTCTCTTTTGCCCTTTCTCTTTTCCATTATTAGCTAGTTAAGCAAACAATAATTAAACATATTTTGTGACCCCACAACCCCTCATGCCATGGGTTTTTTTTTGTCTACTAATGCTTACGGGGTTGGTTATTTTAGGATTATCTTAACTATATATAAAATTATTACAACAATAAATTTTTTTTAAAATACTCAAATAAATATTTATTAGACTTTAAAAAATATTTAATAAATATCTAATGAACTTAAAACAAAAATCTTCAATAAATACCTAATAAGTTTTTTTAAAAAGGAAATAATATTAATCCATTTTGCCTTCTAAAAATTAAAAGAAAAATCTTTGTAAAACTATATTATTTTAGTAAACTTCTATTTAAAATAAAAAGACTAAAATACCTTATTTTTAAAACATAAATTAGATTATTTTTTATCTTTTTCTTATGATATTTTATTGAAATGATGTAATTTATATTAATGCAAATAAACACTAATTCTTTAAAAAAAATACTTAATAAAAAATAATTTAAATCTAACATATAAATTTTACAATCCGACAATAATAATACTTAATTTTTTATTAATCTTATTCTTACTTTCTTATAATAGGAATTGGCATTTCTTGGACATCTTTCCAATTATAAGACGATTACAATTATACAAATTACAAAGAAAAAAGAAGAAAAAAGCGAGAAAAGCTGTCAGATACATAATTCTATTGTGAACTTTTGTTTTTTTATGGTAAAATTATAGTATTAGTCTCAAATTTTTAAAATTTTTAACTTCAGTCCTTATATTTCATAAGTTTATGATTTGACCCCTAATTTCTTCCACTTATTCCTTCCAAGCTAAAACTCTATTTTGGTTCTTCTACTTTAACAAAAAGCCCATATTTAGTCTTTCCACTAAAAAAACCCCTTTTTGATCTTTTAAAATTTAAAATCCAACCTCTTTTTAAACCCTCCATTACTTTTTGTATATATAGCACATTTAATGATAGAAATTCTAAAATAAAGGGACTAAACAAAGCCCCTTTTTCTCCCTTTACTTTAAAAAAACCTTTTTGATTCATCTAAAAAAAAAAAAAAAAAAAAAAAAAACTTTTTTTATCTCTTTGCTTTGAAATTTTTATTATTTAACGTGACTTTTATGTAAAAAGATAACCAAGAGACTAAAAATGAATTGACTTTTAAACGACTTTTAAACTTTAAAGACTAAAAAGAAACTTTTTAAAGTAAAACGACTAAAAAAGATCCTTTTTTAAGAGACCAAAAAGAGATTTTAACTTTCATCCTTTTACTTTGTAAAACATTATTATTGGTTCAAAATTTATGATTTTTAAAAAGTTTTATTCTACACAAAATAATAAAAATAATGTAAAATCAAGTAAAATTATATTAAATTTATTTAAATATTAATAAAATCAAGACTAAATTAGTATTATATTATGAACTTATCAAGTACCATAAAAAATTGGTAAATTTTATATTAAAACTTTATTAAGACATAAAAAAAAAGTTTTATTTAGATTTTTGTTAAGCGGTTAACACTAAATTTCTCCAATTAAAAAAAATAAAAAAAGAGAATCAAAAGTAGGATTATGATGGCAATGATTGAACACAACTTTTGATGAAATACAAGAAATATTGTAACCCTAAGGCATAAAGGGAAGTTAAAAAAATTAGAGAAAAATATTAAGAAATTGTGTCACTTATGTCTGGACCTAAAATACTTCTAATATAGACAATAAAAGATAGAAGGAAATTAGAAAACAATATATAAGAATAATTGAAGATACAAAGAATAACTCAAAAATAATAATTGATATAGAAAGAAAGATTTAACTGATTAAAAAAATATATACAATGAAAGATAAGTGAGATTAAAGAATAATAAAAAATAAATTATTAATATAGAGAGAAAACTAATGCTAATATGAAATAAAAATATATAATGATAAAATATGAAGAGTTAACTAAGGGATGAAGCGCAAGAAAAATAAGCAAGTGGTTGTACTGAAATAATAATGTTAAAAGTTGCACTCTTTTTGTTTTGACATAAAACATTTTTAATATAAAGAAGGGGCAAGAGAAAAAAATTGAGTAATAAAACACAAAATTTTAATTAGTTGATTGATATAATTGAGAAAAAATTTACAATTAAATTCATCCAAACACATGTTAGAAAAACTCAATATAAAAAGGGAAAAAGATGGC